TGCACAGGAGCTCGTCCCAGCCCTTCTCCGCCTTACCCACACTGCTTCGGCGACACCGGCGTTCTGGAGATCTGCGTGGTGGGCCTTACTTCCCAAAATCACCCGACCCACCCTTCCAAAACATCTCAGGCCCATTGGTCTGTGTGAGGTTTCGGGGCGGATCGTGGGCAAGATCTTGCAAGGAAGGCTTCGGCCCTTCGTGGAAGCCTATCTCCGGGATATCCCACAATGGGCGTACATCCCTGGTAGAGGTACTCTTGACGCAGTCCTTCCGGTGCAGGCTCGCTGCCAGGCGGTTCTTGAGGCATGCAAGCCGGATAGGACAGTCCGCGAGGCTCGGGCTGGCCTTGAGCGACCTGCTGGCCAAGCAGGCGGGCTCCAAGTATCATTGGACCTGAGTGCTGCATTTGATTCACTTGAGTGGGTCCACATTGCCGCTGCTCTCGACGACGCCAACGTACCAGCATCTCTGCAGGCCCACATCATGGAGTGGCACCGGGATGTCCGATACCATCTGGACATACAAGGAGAGCATGTTGAAATTGCTGCCTCCAGAGGTCTTAAGCAAGGATGCTTGGTAGCTCCTTTGGTATGGGCACTAGTTACGGGCAGGTTCCTGTATCAACTGGCGCTGGACACTGACCCCCTTTGGGTTGCTGAAGATGTCACGACTTACGCCGACGATTTTCATGCCGGCAGCCTAGTCCAGGACACCACAGGCCTAGATTTGTTGATGCATAGACTTGGGTGCATGCTCGACATTCTGATCAGTGCGGGACTTCAGGTGAACTCTCAGAAGTCCGCGGTGCTGTACCGCTTCAAGGGTCATTTTGCCCGGTTGTGGCTGAAAATCAGGACACGCACCACCAGTGATGGGGACCTTTTTCGCCTCCGCACTCCTGGGGGACGGCTCTTTGAGTTTCCCGTAGCAAACGTGCACACCCAGCTTGGTGCCCGTATCAGCTGCTACGACCCCAGGGTTCAAAGACTTGAACATCGCATGCGACTTGCTCAGGTTGAGTGGACTAGGCTACGGAAAATAGTGTGCTCCAAGCAGGGGCTTTTCTTGAAGCGGGTCCAAATTTGGCGTTCCAGTGTACCTGCCACCCTCGTGTATGGCCTGGCTGCCACAGGCCTGCCTGTGGGGGGGCTTCGTGATATCCGTGCTATGTATATGCGTCAGCTTCGTGCCATTCTTCGTTGTCCAGCTCACCTAAGTCATACTAGCAATCGTGCTGTCCTGGCGAAGGCTCATGTACCGGACATCGGGGCTGTCATTCAACAAGAAATGGTCAGGCTGCAGGGCAACCTCTCAGCCCTTCGCGAGCTAGACTCGGTTCTAGTCACGGATCGTCTGCTCTCCTTTGCGGGCAGGTTGCCGGACACCCTCTACCAATCATTTGGTCCCTCCTCATGGGGTGGCTCGGAGGTCGGCCCCCTGTCAGAGGCCTTGTGTCGATGCCGTTACTGTGCTCTGAGCTTCCCCACGCATGCTCTGTGTCGGTCACATGAGGCCCGGGCTCATCAAGAGCAAGCCCCGCCCACTGCAGGTCCCACATTTGACCGTTTCTTACATGGTCTGGATGGGATGCCGACATGTCGACTGTGTCTACATCCTTTCAGAAAGTGGAGCAACCTTGCCAAGCACATCACTGGACGTCAATGTCCCGTCCTTACCGGGCACCGTGTGCAGGCCTCCACGATGCAGCTTGAAAACATGATCCAGAGCGCGCTGCCCAAGGATCAAATTCCTGCTTCTGTACCGGACATGCCTCCCCCTTCAGCCACTCTGCCCCTGCAATCTGCAACTCCAGAGCCAGATCCCTTGATTGTGGATGATGCTGCTGTTCCAGCAGGCCTGTCTGCAGCTTTGCCGTTGGTGCTCAGGCCGGGCATCCGTGAAGTCGTCACCAGGTCTCACTGGCACCAATTACTCACCAACTCAAAGTTGAGAGCGGAGCTTCGACACCACTGCCCGTTCTGCAGACAATGGTGCATGGACACCGCGGCCATTAAACGCCACATGACGCAGCAGCATCCGGAATGGGTTACCGAGTTCTCTAAAATAGTCCAACACCTTAAGACCTTTAGGCGGACCATGGTATTCCCCTGTAGGTACTGCTCGCAGGTGCAAGTTAGCAAACATACGCACTGGCGTACCTGCATTGTACTCCAAGTCAGCTGCTACATCGGCCTTCAGGCAGATGACGGAGCCAATGGAGGACCTGGAGATCTCACAGCAGGAGCGTCTCTTCTTCGGCGGAGTCTGCCCTTCACTTCGGTCTCTTACTCCCAAGCGGGAGCGAGACGAGGTCCACCCGGATCCCAAGAAAGCTCGGCTGGAGACACTGAACGACCGGGCACAGAGCTCTGTGCTGGGGGGGGCGTCAGTCGCAGCCCAAAGGCAAAGGCAAGGGCTCCTCGAAGGGGCAAGGGAAGGGACACCGCGACTACCGTCGGAGGCAGTCGTGGGGATGGGCACAGCCAACAGCCGGGGATTGGCAATGGAACCCTTCCTGGACGGGGCCTCCAGGACAAGACATGCAGGATCTTCTTCACAGATTGACTCAGTTGACGATCAAGCGCGAGTATGCCATCAACAGTCTGAAGCAGGACACGACAGTCTACCTCTTCGTGCAGCCGGGTCCTCAGGGCCTGCCCCCGATCCTCTTCAACACGTCCGAAAGATGGAACCAGATACAGCGCGATCACCCGGAACAGACGGAAGAGTCGCTGCGCATCGTTCTGTTGAAGGCCTTTCTTCTCGAACTCGGTCAACGGCTGAAGAACAGCAAGGAGAGCACCACGGCACTCCAGGCGGCCAAGGATCTCGGCTGGTTAACAGAAGACGGCCGATGGAAGGCTCTGATCTGGAATCCCACCACGGCGGCACTCGAGGAAGCTCCCAATGGCCGAACATGGACGACGGACACGATCATCTCAGAGACCATCGAGCTCCGGAAGATGGTGACCTCGGAGACCGTGTTCAGGTTCCAATCCCTCCGGGGCCTGACCAAGGAGCCGCAGACTGCATGGGTTCAGCTGGCGCTGGAAATCAGTGTCCGGGGAGGGCAGCCGGGTTTGGGATATAGTTCAGTCCTGGATAGGGTGCTCGGCTCTGCATACACTGGGATGTCGGCTGCGGCGCGAGCGTGGCGGCCTGTCACAGCAGGCTCGCTCGCTTCAGTGGTGAGCGCCGGGGCAGCATGCAGCGACGGGATTAGACTGGAGTCTGGAGTGCCTGCATCTTTTGATCTTGCCGCTTGGAAAACTGCTGATGGACCGCCCAGCCTCTCTCAGGCCTTGCAGTGTTTGCTCTGGCCCATGCAGTATGACACGGGGCGCAGGACAGGAGTCTCTGGTCTTGTCAAACATCTCTGGCATCGTGTGAGCAAAGCGCCGCAAGACGTCTTTAGCCTGCGAGGAGACCTTTTCTGGATGCCAATCATGAAACCATTGGGTTCCGTACAGGCTCCCTCCCTGGTGTGGACAATGCGCTCATTGCTTGCATCTGTACGTGGCCACAACACGACAGGTGTTTGGGGCACACATCTGGCAGCCTCATCCTTAGACTTGGAGGTGCGCCCACTGTCAGAGGTGATGCTCATTCCTCTATGCATTACACCCGGATTGAGAAACCTGCAGGACTGCATAGATGCCTGGGGGACAAACGTTGGCAGGCCTTGCCTTGTCCCTTGTCTCATGACAGCTTCAGAGACCCTGTTCCTCAGTCTCGAGACTCTTTGCATACGCACGCAGGGGAAAGCCGATGTTGCTGAGCCGGATTCGCGGTTCACACTGACGATTGGGGAAACCATCTGGTTGCCAGGAGTCAAAGCTGTGGATAACAGAATCGCTTATCAGTATGAGCTCAGATCCTTGATTTGCGAGAAGCACAATGGTTCTGGCCAACTGGAGTTCACTTCTGCACACTGGCATACCGACAAAGGAGCTGCTAAAAATGAGACCTACTGCACTGATGGTGTGCATCAATCTCTGATCGTGGCTCTCCGACTTAAGTACGATGATGATGATGATGTCAAAGAAGGCATCAAGGATAACCTCTAAACCACAAGTGTTTCGAGAGGTCGTTCTGGCAAACATCGCGGCTCAAGGGCACGATGTTGAGCCCACAGAGGCTCCGGCCTAAAGGGCTGTGCAACTCGCTAGGTGGATGGACACACTGCGTGCTGAATGAATACTACTACTACTACTACGACTACGACTACTACTAGCACTACTACGACTACTACTGATCCCCGTTTAATTTTTTGCTCCTGATTTAATTTTTTGACCCGTAACCCCTAGATTTTTCCCAAGCTTTGTTGCGTACCTACTGCGTTATTTTTTCTGATCGTGGTCTTAGTTTTTTTTGATCTTTGTGGTTTAATTTTTTTTGATCCTCAGTTAATTTTTTTTTGATCCCTCACCCTCGTGAAGAGTGACTTCCGACCGAGGAGCCGCAGCCTGAAGCCAAGGCGCTACATTCCGCAGCCGCAGCTTGACCCCCCTTCTCGCTCCAGGTGCACATTTGGGGTTTAGGGTTTGGATGTTTGGATGTGCAGACGCGATCTCGAATGGCTTGTTGTTTCTTATGTTTTTAGTGGCGGCTTTTTCTGCACGTCGAAAGCCTCGTATTATAAGAAGGTCAGGACCAGGTTTGAAAACGAATGCACCGTGAGCATGACCAGGAGGCGGATCCAGCCCTCTCCCAGGACGAGGCATACAAGAGGTTCGATGTGGAGACACTCAAAGAGCGACGGCAGGCAAGTGTTTGCTTGGAGAGGGCTGAACGCGGGCTGTGTCTTTTGACCCTGAGCAATGTCGCACCGATTTGTGCGCATCATCCTTGTGCAAGCATTCTGTGCTCCCGAACTTGGTACGCTTCTCGGATGTGTGATTGCGCCGCACTAGGCGAAGGGGGAGTGAGCGGCAGAAGGCTGCCGATCCCCTTTCACTTTGCTGCTCTGTGCGAGGCTGGGGTGGACTTGGGGGCGAGGATGGTCGATACACGCTCTGGATGGACCCCAGCGCATTTTGCCGCAAGTCGTAACAAACCAGACGTGCTGCGGTACCTCCATGAGGCTCCGGCTTAGAGCACCTGAGCCATCCTCTCCGCAGTTCCCTGTGAGGTGGGTGCCAATCTTAGTACGACGGACAACAGGGGTCAGACTCCAGCCGTCTTGGCCGCCGTTCAAGACTCCCGCGAAGCACTGGAGGCGCTCAGCGAGGCCAGGGCTGCAGCGTGGGGGGAGTCCTAGAGTTCACGGTGTTTGGGGTTTTAGAAACTCATGACGAAGCTTGGATTCAAGAAACCGCTTGATAAAGATGAAAAAGCCCGTATTTCTGTAGAACGTAAATTTCCAGAGGACCGAGTTAAGGGATTTTCCCCATCCGGGGACACCTGCATTGATCCTTCTATGCGTATTAGGGTTTCGGTGTTGTAGGGTTTTGGGATTTAGGTTCAGGGTTCAGCTAGAGTGTCATTTGTTCTGTGTCCTTACGTGGCTGTCGTGGTGGACCTGCATGGCACCGCGAAGAGCCTGCAAGCACAAGCAGTAAAACAACATACGAAACACAATATAGTGTAATCTGATATAGTATGGTATCATGAAAAGACCAAAACAGTTGTCTACGGTACAATGCAATATACTATTATGCGCTATACATTATAGCTCCAACGCAATGTGCTTCATGTAATGTAGTATAGTGCAGTATAGTCCAATACAGTGTAAAAATATAACAGATATTATAATTTAATAGAAATAGTATACAACATGATACAATATCATACCATGACTGAAAATTATTATACGCTCTCCGCCTGTCCAGAAAAGGAGCGATTGCATCAGTGCGTGAGAGGAGAGCGAGTGAACTGCAACGTGTACTTCTACTACGGCAGCCACACAATCAGCATACAATGTCGGTGAGGGAATGGAACACAAATTAAAATAGTGCATATTCTATTTCTATAAAATCTGATAGGGTTCCAAAGCGCGGTTTCCCACTGAGCAAGGTCGGAGCCGACCTGCAGACGGCGGACGAGGAAGGATGCACCCCGTTACACTGGGCCGCCTGGAATAGCAGACTTGACAGCGCCCGCTTGCTGATCGAGCTTGCTGATCGAGGTGGGATGGGTTTGGGGATGTTAAGGGTTTACAGGGGATTCGGGTTTAGGGTTCAGGGTTCGCTCATGCTCAGGCGGGCGTGAACGTGAGCGCCGTCCACCAGGAAGGAGAGACTCCGGCCGACATGGTTCGGTGGAATTCGTCTGCGAAGAAGTGAGCTGCTTCTCAAGGCCATGGAGGGGAGATGAGGGGAGATGAGGGGGGTCGGGTTCAAGGCAAACGTCAGATTCTGTCACAGAAAAGGGGTGCAGCTACAGCTCCCTGGTTTCGGTGATGCGAGAGCGTCGTTTTCTGTCAGGCTGGCGGCCACAAAAACACAGGAAAAACATGTGGAGCTGCTCGTCTGATCGTGGTTTCTGGTATTGACAGCTGATATGGAAAGCTCATTCTTAAGCCTCCAGCGACGCCTCAGGAATGATGCATTTCATCGACCTACAGCATGCAAGGGGGAGAGAGACCATGAGCTGGCCCGGCAAATCAAGGTGGCGAGAATGAACAAAGGCACTCCGAATTCTTCAAGGTGTGAAGACTTCAACAGGAACGTAGCTTTGCCAGGCCTACACATCCGAAGCCTCGGAGACCGTCTGTGTCAATAGCGGCTCTGCATGTGCAGATGTCTGTCTCTGATACGGATGGGAGACCCGTAAGCCCAAACCCCGAAGCCTAACAATGCCCTAAACGCTAAGCCTAAACCCTAAACCCTGCAGGGGTAGCAGTGCGCATAGAGAGGACAGGTGCAAGGTTCCTGAAGCTGAGCACGAGCAGCCGAGAATCAGTCCCGGACTCTTCGGAAACAGCTGTTGGTTGTTTAGCTATACAAGAATATTGTACTATGATATACGTATACTATTTTTAAATATTGCATCAAGGGACTGTTCATTGTCATCCTTCTGTGCGCCATCCTGAAGCTTCAAGAATGACCGCAGGAAACCAAAGACAGTCTGGTTCAAGCTTGTCACAGACATACAAAGCAGACGAGTCAATCAAGAGCACGAAACATGCAATGATGGAATGGCGACACGGAGCATCTCGAGCCGCATCGCCGGAGGCGCTGAGAGCATAAGCTATACATGAAGTGATGCTGAAGAGTCGTTGAATTTATGCGGTAGGCCTAATGTGCATTTTTCCATTTCTGCAGGACATAGGTATGCTGGTCTCCTTCTGCGTCAACGATGCAGGTTCCACAGCAATGGTTCTCCTTTCGATACCACAGTTGTCCGACAGGCTTCCTAACTGTGCAGGTGGCAGCTTGCAGGCATCCGCTGTGCGAGCTCGCTTACAGAAGTGGCACCGTCAGAGAAGGTACGCTGGTTGAACGCAATGCAATTGCGGTTGTTTGACGGAGTGCAATTTATTGGGCAGCGGGTGATGCCTCGTTGCAAGGAGAAGAACACACCGCGAAGATTGGCCACACCGCCCAGAGGTCCTGCGGGCGACTGTTTTGGTGTAGTGGCAATGAGACATACTTGGACTCCTTTCCGCGGATAGCAGAGATGTGCGAAGTGTGGCTTGATGCCAGAGGTTTTCGTCGGATGACTCTTCGGGACGTGCTGGCCTCGACTTGCCTGCCGTGCGTGACGGCATGAGGAAGACGAGGATCAGGATCACGGTGATGATGAAGTGATGAAGATGGCACAGGTAATGACGACCCATGATGAAGATGACAACGACGGCAACAACGACATTGATTTACGATGTTGACCGTCATGTTGATCATGACGACCGGGATGTTGACTCTTGAGGTGGTGATAGATCTGTTTGTGGTGGTGTGGGTCTGGATGCTGCAGCCTGTCCCAGTTTGACGTGCCGATCGAAAACAAGCCAGCCGTGGATCTCTCCAAGCAAGCCGAGGCGGCATTGGGATGTTGAGAGATGTGTAAGATAGCCGAGATCACGGACACCAGGGTTCCGGTGAGCGCGTGTTGACTGCGTGGTGCTTCTTGTAGCAGGAGCCGGACGAGGCTTGGAGTGCTTGTGCCACGCCTTGATCGGAAGACTTCCACGTGGCTCCCAGGATGCACCGGTCAGGATCTCGGAGATCACCGGCCAGGCCGGGCCGGGCCGCCTTTGAAAAGGCCATCAGAGGCCGAGGCCCCTTTTGTGCCGTTTTGCGAGGAAGTTCAGAGCCTTTGGCCTCCGACGCCCCTGATCGCGGCGGGCTTAGCACGCAGGGCCCGGATGTCTCGGCTCCCGGCTCCCTCGGCTCGGCGAGGACATGAAGAGCAGAGACAAGCTGATGGAGTCGCTGGACCAGAACGAGCTCATGGAAAAGGCCTCTTGGAAGTCCTGCGTCCCAGCGTCTCCGCAAGTTTGGGATTTAGACTTGGCAGGTGGACGAGGAAGAGCGCCGTGAAGTTGCGAGGTTGGGCGGTGAAGCTGCTTGCTCTGTGGCGGGATACCTCGTAGGGAAGCGGGTGGCGCACGGAAGCTCTATCGCGTGATGTCGAACCATTCTCACATGTTCTCACGTTCTCGCCACCAGGCCATTCTTGTGGCTACAACACGAGGAGCAGGATTTCGCGCGAAGCTGAGTCGCAATCTGTCCACCGCAACTGCATGGCCGGGTGTGCACGGTGGTGAGAACCACATTTACTATTGCAGCAGACGAAGTACATGTGCCAGTAGCATCTTTGCAGGTTGGCAACGAAGATGTTGGCAGATTTGTCAAGGCAGTCTGATATGAACAGAGCCACGAGCAAGCAAGCGCTTCCTTGTCCTTTCAGATCGCCCGCGATGACCTGCTTGAGCATTTGCCGGAGGGAGGCTGCGGTGAGTTGTCGTGCTTTGGCCTTCAAAAAGCTCACGGCACCGGGGCCTGACAGCAATTTTGCGGAATCTGAGGCGCGATTTGACTTTGATCCCTGACCGAACGCGGGACGTGGGCTTCGCTGGCCGGTGTTCTTGATTGTTCTGGTGACCAGGAAAGTCAGGACTCCTTTGAGGTAAGATATGTGGAGGTCGGTGTTTTGGCCCCTGGGAGGTTGTTGAACCGCATCTCTTGAGTTGCCAGGTCTGATGGTCAGGAAGCTGTCGATCGCCTCGGCCCGAGGGACAGATAGCAGCTATGCCAGTATTCGTGCGAATCGCCCATGTCAGCAACGCACAGAGACATGTTGCCATTCAGTCGCCGTGTTCTTGCTCTTGCTTTCTGGACCGCTGGACGCAGCAGATGTTCCATTCTCGTGTTTTCATGCTGCCCCGTGGCCGCTGCAGCTTTAAACTTAGCATCTGACATCAAAGTCAAGCCTGCAGAAGCGTATCTTGAGAACTGTGGATCTGCTGACCAGCGTTGAAACACACCTAAGCCTCAGCCAAGTGCTAAGCTTCCTCAACGCGCTACCCACCTGCCGGCCTATCTTTCTCATTTGATTACTTCGCATCTGCCCATGGTGTTAGTTTTTTCAGCCCCACAGCTGTGCCATGCTGGTGTACGGTACCCGTTTGCCGTTAGTAACTTTAAACCGTGATGTATAAGAATTCTGTCACCATGATAGTCTGACTAGTTCCGCTTTTGCATTGGCACAGCACTGCTGTTGTGAAGATTTTCATCATGGTCATTCGCATCGTACTTGCTGAACTTGCTATCAGTCTTGTTATTCGTATCATCATCAGCAACGCCTCATCAGGATCATACAACTTTCACGACCTGGCTGCCGCTGCGGCTGCTATTGCTACGGCCAGGGCTACGGGTGCTGCAACGGATACATTCATGGCTACTTGGAGGATCATGGGACTTAGTAACTAGGGTTATAACTAAGGTAACTAGAATTATAACCCCAATTAGGGTACTTATAACCTTACTTACTAAGTCCCATGATCCTCCAAGTACTTTTTCTGAGTAGATGCAACCCCTAAACCCTAAACCCTACACCCTAAACCCTAAACGGATACCTTCATGGTGACTCCTTCTGAGTAGATGCTCTCCTGATTCGAAGCTTTTGATCGGCTCATGGCCTCGCTGGGTGATCCGAGCGCGGGCTGCGAGAGCCATGGCTTCCCATGGTTTTGGGGGTTTCGGTTTTAGGGTTTAGGGTTTAGGGTTTAGGGTTTAGGGTTTAGGGGGAGGAGGTATGATTGCGCAAGGATCAGTGGATGTGTTGGTGCCAGCTTCGGGTGGCGACCTCAGGCCTAGAGCACTTGGCATGATTGCTGGTACTTTGACCGTGAGTGATCTTGGCAATGCCTCTCAATGCGAAACAACTAATACGAAGGGCTGCGAAGAAGGGCTGCGAAGTTTCTTGAATCCTGCACCATTGCTGTTATCCTTGCTACTCTCAGCCCGAGATGCCCAAATCTCCCGGCTCAGGAAGCCGGCCTCGCAGGAGCCGCGCAGGTGGGAAGTCCGGCGAGGGCCGTACGGAAGTAGCACTGCAGTATTACAGTTTTTACAAGGCTGACAGCTGCCAGGCATGGTAAAATAGAGGTAACAAAAGCAGCTAGAAGAGAAGGGAAGACGAAGGCAACTGGACGACCTCCTTGCCGAGCTGCGCCAGGCAGCTTGGCGAAGCAGGGGCACTTGTGTTTGCCAGCTTCCAGCTGCCACTGCCACCCGTAGGTCCGCTTGGGACTCTGCCTTCCATTCAGGAGGCCGAGGAGCTCTGGTGCCGCGCGGGTGGGGACGCCCTAAGTGAGGGTGGGCAAGCGACGCCCGAGCAGAAGGCCCGGCATCTGTCTTTTTAGACTGGACCTTGCTGACTTGGTGCGCCGATCTGCAGGGCCATGAGGAGGAGTTTTGCTCGATTCTTGGATGCACCGTTTGGTGACTCTGCTCAGAAGTTTTGGAGGTTCCCATCACGGTAGAAACAGAGCTGACAGCACCTTCAAGCGCCCTCGATCCCTTATGGTCTCATCTGGGCCCTCGATGTGAACAGCTTTGTGGCCTCGTCTGGGCCGGCTCCGAGGCGCATCTTGGCGGAGACCCTCCGCTCGATGCTGGACAGTGAAATTGGCCTAGAGCCGGACTGCCCCCCGAGTTTGCTACCAAGTGAGTCATGAGTTATAGTTATCATGGCTAACGTAACTTATATGGCTTACAACCTTCCTCTATGCTTTGAAGCAGGGCATATTACACTGCTTGGGGGCTCAGCTTTCCAAGACCTGCGCGGGGTCTTCCCCTGGTGTCAGGAGCCGGTGGTCGAGAGAAAGGCCGACCTCAACGACGTTCGGAAGAAGGCCCCGAGCTTGAATGGGGTAGTTCTCTAAGTGGGGGTGCCTTTTAAGGGTCCTGGTTATACGGGTGCCGCACTATATAAGGGGCCTAAAATTAAAATGGGACCCTAAGTTAGGGAACTACCCTAATCGAAAAGCGGATCTCCTCAGCCCAAGCCCGGACCGCCAGGATGCGCCAAAGGAGGACGACCACCACGGCCTTCGGGAGCTGGGTCGCGCGCAGGAGATTCAGCAACGGCTCGTTGAGGCTGGCCTTTGGGCAGGGAGGTTGGGTGAGAGTTTTGTTTGCTTTTTGTTTTAAGTTTTGACCGCCGCCATCTTCCGGGACCACCTGATCCCGTCATGGAAGGCTCAGGCAAGTCACCCGAAGCTCGGTTACCTGAGTTACCTCGCACACCTCCAGAAATACCCTCTGGACGCGGTAGCTATGACCTGGACATTATCTTCGCAAAATTACTTCGCTGTCTGTTTAGTTCTCTGTGCTTTGGGAGCGCTTCAGGTCGGTTCCAGTTTGTGTCAAATGCTTCTTTCACGAGTCTCCGAAGACGGGCATTCCCCAAATTCGCAGCAGGTCAGACGATTCAGAGCTCTCCTTAGCTACTTGCAGAGAGGCCAACCTGCACTCGGACAAGCCACAGAGAGTCCTGGTCGCAGCATGCGATGTGCTGCAGGACTGAAGTCGGGGTGAACTGGTGTGGCTGCGATTTTGCTCTTGGAGCCCTCGAAATGCCGACAGCTGCAGGACATGCAGACGTGGCCGGTGCCCGACCAGCTGCTTCCGTGGCCTCGCCGAAGTTGAGCCAGAAAGTGGGGACGCGGAGAGAGGGACTCCAGACTTGATACGCAAGGCCCGAGCTGGCCAGCGAAGCCGAGGCTCGGGACTTCAAAGTCTGGGCTTTTTCGCTTCGCCTGCTGCGTTCACTTTCGCTTCGGCGAGGCCTGGGCCCCGCTCTACGGTAACCTGTATCCGCAGAGCCCACCGTCGCGGCGTCGCTCCGTGCAAGACGGCTTTGCCACGCCGGAGGAGTGCAGGCTGGGGCTCCAGCGGCTGGGTCAGTTGAGGGGAAGAAGCGCTCGGTTCGTCCCAGGGATGCTTGCGGCTTCTGCATCCGTGTGGGCCGCAAAGAGTGAGAGAGATGCTGAGTGAGTGGAATTTCCGCAGTGCTTTCTATCAACTGCCCAGAAAACACTGAGGTGCGATGTACTGCATGTTTCGGCGTGGTGGTCAGACGTCCTTGGCCGTGGGACCCTCCCTGGAGCGGCGCATGGGCGCCAAAGGCGCAGAGCTGCTCACTGAGCTGGTGGAGAGGACTTCCCACATGACTTGGCTTTCGGTGCTTTCTTTTTGGGGTCGCTTTCGTAGAATCAGATCTATGGTACCTTTCGGAGGACTCGCCGAAGGATCTCCGCAGACGTCGGCTTGCTCGACCCGGAGAAGGCCGAGCTGCCTCTGATGACGCGGGTGATGCTGATGCTGTTGCGTGGGTTCTAGGCCCATTCCAGGCGCTGTTAGTTTTGAGCTTAGTGGCCGGTGATGCAGAGGCTCAGGGCACTGCAACCCGAAGATTTCCTGATCCTCTCTCATGAATATTGAGTTGCTTCTTGAAGGATGATTGGCATTCTATGCAACACAGCTCTGCACATGGAGAGAGAAGCCCTTAAAGCGAGCCTCCAAGTTGCACGCTCCTCGCCGCACGGCAGGGGGAGCCTTTGCTCTACGAGTCTGGGGCGCTGCTCACCCGATTGCAAGCCGACTGGGACCAAGACATGTGGGACGTCAGCTCCGGCGAGGAGCATGCCTCTTGGTGGATAGAGCTTTTCAGGCTTCCTATGTAGGCTGGGGCGTGTTATGTCTTCGCCTTAGACTATAGTGTCATGTTTTTTTTCCGGACGTTTAGATCAATCCGCGTCGCCCGCTGTTCCAATTCTGGAGGGGAGGCTTTATCCTTCGAACTTATTCTACCATTGCTGTGTATATGCCAGTAGAACGGTGCTAGACTCCTAACTCCATTGAGGAGGAGGATTAGGGGATATTCGTTATTCGATTGGTAGTTCCAGAGAGGATTTGGCGGTGCTGAGGTGTACTGGAATGCCCATGTGGACAAGGCCGAAGCGTTCGATGCCGTCACGCATTGTTCTGGGACGGAAATGAAATGACCAAAAGGGGACTTGTCAAAAGACACCCGTCGAACCTGGAGGCCAACGTGGCCTCCTACGACTATGCAGCCTTGCTTTACTTGAACACGCAGGGGGAGCACTTCGAAGGTGGCGACTTTGCCTTCGTGGACGCAGGACAGATTCAACTTGAAGTTGGCAGTGCAGGCATCAATCACAATGGCTGGTCTACGTACGTTTTCTAGGTTTATCTGCAAGGCCGCACTTCGAGCTGTACTCGTAGCTCAAACAGCAGATCTTTTGTTTCAGATTATGTCGAGCTTAGCGGGAGCGGTTCGACAGTTAGGGGAAGCTCCTTTCGCACAGGCGTTCCCGCCTCAAGTCTTTTCTTAGCTTCTTCTTGAAGCACGCAGACTCGCAGGCCCGAAAAGACCGAAGACCGGCGCCGAAAGCCGGCTCAAACCCACATCCTTCGTTTAGATCCTCAGAGCTTGCACACCCTATCGACCCGACTCTTAGGGTCTATGAGGTTTATGCGCTTTAGGATGGTGTACGGGCTTTGGGGTTTAAGGGCTGACGGCTTATGATGGGTCCGAGGGTTCCCGTAGACGTGTGGAGGAGAGGATTGCCTCGTCTGTCCAAAGAGGGGCCGACTGCTGGCGTTCACCGCGGGCCCCGAGAACCTCCACCAGGTCGGCCTTTGGGCGTACGGCAGTGTAGAGGTTTTTTGACAGCTTCGGGTCGCGCGCATATCCCTGGGAGGTGAGGAAAGTGACCTCCGGAACTCGATTCGCTTCGGGCTCAGCCGTGAGTGGAGCCGACCAGGGCTCCTACGCTGGGATTCCACGACGCCCAGGTGCTGGCCATGTGGTTCACGCTTTCGGCCGCACACCAGAGAAGGGACTGAGGACAGCCGGGGTCTCAGCTTCTCCGAGTGTGGAGTTTGCTGCAAAGAGCTCGGTCTCTCTGTTTCCATTGCAGGTGACTTGGGAGCGCTCCCGACAACCGGCTACACCCCAGAGCCTCAGAGCCTGTGGCGCCTGCAGAAAAGGGAGTTCACCTGCCAGCAGCTCGATGTGGTTCCTTCTTTTAAAGCTGATGCAATCCTGTCTTTTGACCGTCGGACGGTGGGCTGCGGTGCCGAGGAGCTCATCTCACAGCTGTCCGAGCTGCAGCACGCGACGGATGCGGAAGGTCGGCCCAGAATTCGAAAGGCCCACAGAGGGTGGCAGCCGTTTTCAACTTACGGTTTCTGGTGTAGACAAACTTACACGGGGTAACTGGATGACTGCACAAAGCAAAACCGGCATGCATATGCATGTACACGAACGGAAGAGCGTCATGCTGCGATGCTGCTGACATCCTGGAAGGCTGGCTTTCTGCTTGACGGCCATAAGGGGACCGGGAAGAGCCAAGTCGCGGCCTTCACGTCAGAGCACTCGAACTCAAGACCCGATGTCCGCACCGAGTGCTTCGAGGTCTTGAACCTGCTCGCCATGTGGGCACGCAAGAACGGTGTGGCTGGCTCGATTGCCGCATGGTGATCAGAACTCAGAACACTACTGGCCAGTTCAGAAGGTTGGCGAGATATCTGCTGACGGATGCAGGTTGGCTGGTGGTGCTGGAGCCAACGCCGGGCCGGTACGCACGGGAGATCGCAGAGATCAAGCGCTCGAACAACGGGGTCGGTGGCCAGTGTGCAGCCTGCCAGTCCAAGCACACCTTTCGCCAAAGCGCAGGTCTACATCCAGTCCGAGTTCGCTCAGCAGTTCTTGGAAGCCATGTCGCTTGCAAACCGTCACATGCTGGAGGTTCGCCATGCTGCTCCTTTCCTGTGAATCCCGGAGAGACGCTTGCCTGCAGGAGATTCCGGTTGACAACACGGCCTATGGGTCCAGGGCGATCGATGGAGAATCACAACAGGCGGATCACACGGTAGAAGAACTATGGATGTCTAACGTTCGGGTCATCGCATTGAGTCGCTTGCTCTTTGCAGTCTCTCACAAGCTTGGTGCTCGGAGAGCCCTGCTAGCTGCAGTCACCTTGACACGTGGCTAAAGATGAACCTTGATGGTCCGGGCTTCCAGGACATGTTGAGCTTTGGATCTGACGGTGAACCGCAAGCACTATGCACCCTAAACCTCCTTCGAACTCGTTTCGTTTGCGCGCTTCACCCACAAAATCCCTCACAATACGTGCTCGTCGTAGCGGCGTAGCGGCTCGTCTTGCTCCTGGTGGCTTTATACGCTGAGTTGGTTCTCCGAGCCGTATGGCTTCGAGCTGTATGGCGGCCCAGCAAGATAACGCCCGACACATGAGTTGGTGCCCTGGTACTCTTCTGGCAGAACCTCAAGCGTCTGAAAGGCCCGCCCTCACGGGTGGCTTCATGTAGGGCAATGTAGGGCACCTGCTAGTCATCTGGCTGCAGCGTTCGAACTTCGCAGCACCCCAAACCCGAGCCCTCAACCCCAACAAATGCACCCCACAAACCCCCAACGGCAGCCATGTCTGCCGCGCGCCCTCTGCCACTTGGCCTCCGGGAGCCTGTGCTGGCGATGGCCCCAATGGTGACTCAGAGCCCGCCGGCAAGGACAGCGAATTTCGGCCTTAGGGGCCTGAAGGTGTGAGGATGGTGGGGCTTTTGGTTCAGGGCACACTGACTGCCGTAGAAGTTTGGGGGCTTTCGGTGGATGTAAATCTCCTATCCGACTTTGTCGAGGGCAGCTTGATGTGCCCAGGTGACTATGCTTTCCGCCGGCTAGTGCGTGCACATGGCTGTACCCTCTGCTATACCGAGATGCTCATGGCCTCACGCTTCGCTGAGAGCGAGGACTGCATCGCGTGGGGAGGTGAGTCGAGCACGAACTTGTTGAGAGCTGCCGAAGGACTATCGAAGACGGGCTCTCGGATCAGGGGTGGAGATCTCAGAGCATGGGTGGCTGCCCTGTCACCCATCAGTGCATATCAGGATCTTGCTGTTGGAGCTTCTGTGTCGCAGGTGGCAGCGGAGGACCATCCGCTCGTGGTGCAGTTTGCTGCCAACGACCCGCAAGTGCTGCTCCAGGCAGCGCTCCACGCACAGGCAGGAGACATCGAACTCCTAAACCGAAGCCCTACACCCCAATCCCATTCTGGGCGTCAACGCAGACGGAAAAGAAGCCTCAAGCAAAGATCCCACTGTGGCCTGTCTGTGGGTGAGGAGCTGGGAGCCGACGCCGTGGACCTGAACTTGGGCTGCCCGCAGTGGCCACTGAGACAGCAAGGACGAGTAGCACTACCTTTATGGTTGGTGCTGTCGCTGCGAGGTGCAGCCTAGTTTCGTTTTTTGTAGGTGGTGGTGCAGTCCCTCCCGAGGAAGGCGAAGTTGGGCCACTCGGCTCTGATTGCGCTTGCCGGGTGTCGTTTCACCTCTGCCGGAGAAGTCAAGAAAGCCAGACGATCGCAGGCCGATGGCTATTTCCAGCTGTCATGTCATGTGAGGCAACTACGGGGCTTGGCTGGCTGCCGACTCGGAGAACTGGCCTTTGATCGAGGCAGCAGTCCCACCACTGAAACAGGGCCGAAGTGAATGTGAGCAATTGGGGTGCTGCGTTTCTGCAACGAGCAGCACATCGTGTGTGTACGTCTCCTCCTCTCCTTTTTCGCAGGCCATGGTGGCCGCTTGCAGTCAAGAGCCGGCAGTCAGGATCCCGGTCTTTTGCAAGATTCGGCTGCAGCCCACGGAGGCGCAGAGTTCTAGGGCCAGATTCTAGGGTGCTTGATGTGCCGCGGCCATGGATGGGGGTTGAAGTGGTCATGGCATTCAGTTTCTTGGGCCTGCTGGAACATGGCAGGGCTTTCTGGATTTTTCTTGTTGTTTTCTGCTTGTTTATTATATTGATTTGAACTTGTGTTGCCGCCGATGCAGGAAGCGTCTCAATTCAGCAGTAGCCGTCGAAGTTGGAGCGATCAGACCGCGAATGGCTTGATCGGGTATGACCTAGACCTAGCACTTTTCTCAAGAATCTGTCGCAGTCTTTCGCAGACCATATTCTTCTTCTTATTGCTATTGTTACTATTATTATTATTGCTATTATTATTATTATTACAAAACGGGGGACCCTGGGCGTGCGCGTTTCCGGTAATTTCAGGGCTGGCAGAAACCTCCGGCATACGTACTGTCGAAAAACCACTTCGTAATGTAGAAAAAAACAACACAAAAATACCAAAAATGCCAAAAATACCAAAAATACCAAAAAACCAAAAATACCACAAAAACCAAAAAATCCAAAAAAACCACAAAAAACATTATTTGGGGACTATAGGAAAAAGGTCTTTCAATTGGAAGAGTTCCTGACAATTGTTTTTTTT